TTTCTTGACATAATAGGATAGGGCAGTGATCAAACGTAACTCTAGGAAGAGATCTAGCCACCAAATTCCCCAATGAACCTCCCACTCTACATTAAAAAGGAACCTATCAAGTTTGGAGCACAAGGGGTTTTCTTGGAAATTAGACCATGTAAAATTAGCTTGTAGGAGGGGTAATTTCTTTAAACCACATGTGTTAATTAACTCATTAAAATTTCTCATGCTTGTAGTAATCGTTCTTTGGGGATTATTTGATTCATTACAAAACCTAATTACATGGAAATCCCCCCCCCCCAGGCACCACGGACCGTTCCACAAGCCTTGCATTGCATACAACTCCTCCCACTTTTCTTTCCTTTCTCTATAACTATTTGGCCCATAAACATTAGTTAACACCCAAGTGAATCCATCTTCCACATTTTTGAATTTTAAAGACACGGAGAATCTGCTTATAAGTTCTTCCACTGATTCTACAACATCCTCCCTCCACAATGTAGCTATCCCTCCCGAGGCTCCCCAAGAAGGAGCTAAAGTCCAGCAGACTCCTCTTGATTTCTACACACTTCTGACCCATCTTCTATCCAAATCTGCCAACTTGGTTTCCTGTAACATGACAATGTCAGGTTTCTCTCTTCTAAGCAGGTCTTTAATTGCCCTTCTTTTTCTTGCACTCCCCAACCCTCTCACATTCCAACTAATGATTCTCATTATAAAACTCCTTTCTGACACCCCTATCTAACCTGGTTCTGTCTCACACAGAGCCCTTCCTTCTCTCTCCCCTTCCACTAAACTCGATATCCACCCTCAATATCTGAGATTAATATCTCCACTTCTGATCTCTTTTTCTTTTTCCTTTGGGCAATCCTTTCTATCTTTTTAGCTGGCCCACTAATTCCATCCACTTGGGCCACCTCCCCCCCCCCCCCAACCTAGGGCTTCTATAGCACTCCATAATCTGAGGGTTTGCTTCATGTTCCCCACCTTCTAACCCCTCCTCCTTTGCTTTATAATCCTCCAATAATGCATAGATCTGCTCCCATATTCTTTCTAACTCTTCCTCCCGCTTTCTCTTAACCTCCAACACTCCCTCACTCCTCACTCCTCTCACCTTCACCCATAATCATCTCTCTGCTTTCCTTTCTGCCTAATAAATCCTCTCGGGATGCTAGAGTATCTGTTTCAACCACAGGAAGAGTATCAGTAACTAAATCCGAAAGAACAAAAATACCTGCATTGTTGGGGACCAGATGAGCTTCTTCCAAGGGAGTGAGACCGGCATAGGAAAACAAGTCTAACCTTGTTTCCTGTGGTCTGAACTGCATAGGAGAAACTTCATAGGAAATCAGCACCTTGCCACCTTCCGCAATTGAGTTGGGCTTCCACTGCTGTCTGGCTTCAGGCAATACATTACAGTCTATTTTGATAGTCTTTCCCTTCCAAACCAAAAACCTGTACGTCCTGGGCTACCGAACTGGCCTCCCTTGCGGGTAAAGACAGAACCTGGGTCCCATCCGTAGTAGCCTTCTGCCGCATCTATTTTCAGATGCTATTTACTGGTATAATTTTCTTTGGGTTTGATTTGTGGCTGGTTCTCTATTTGTCTTCGACCATTGTCTTTGGGCTGGAAACCTTTTTCTTTATCTTCACTTTTCTCTTTTACTAAATTGACCTGTTTTTTATCAATAACAGAATTTCATTAAAATTAATATAGAACAATTACAAAAACAGGAGAAGTAAACTTTCTTAGCTATCCATAACAGAACTTAGCTATTACAATTGAGCCCAAAACAAATGACTCTTTCCCACCCCTTGCTTTGTTAATGCATCAGCAATCCCATTCATGGTTGTCAAGGCGACGCCTAGGTGACAAAGCGCCCTTGGAGGCTTGCCTCGCCCAGTCACCAAGCAGTTTTTTATACTGTGTAATAAAATACTTTTATATTGTTATTTTTTGCGATTAAAATTATAAAATAGACATTATAAAACAAAGTATTCATTTTTTGTGTTCATAAACTAATTTCTTTTTTATTATTTTCTTATTTGTTAGAATTTAATCAACACAAACATTGCTAACTGCTGTATTGAACCCTCAAGCACCTTTTGTTTTCTTCTTTTCCCATAACAAAAATAGGGGTTCAGCCCCTATATTTTTTGAATTTTCTTTTCTTCTTTTTCTTCTCATAAATATGTTGATTTTCTAGACTTAAACATGAAGTTTATAATTTTCTTATGAAAACTATGGATAGTTATTAAAGAAAGATGGTTATGGAACCTAGGGAACTACCCTAGGATATGTGCTTTTTACTTAAAAAAAATCCATCGCCTAGGCGACTAGGCGACAAGGCGCCCCCTGTCGCCTAGCCTCATCTTGGCACCTTGAAAACTATGATCCCATTTGCAGTTCTTTTTACCCAATTAAACTTCACATTCCATATTTTGTGTCAACCAGTTAAACCTTTTCTTTTCATTGTTAAAAAACCCAAAACCCTTGTCCTTCAGCCACTCCACTACCAGCTCGGAAAGACCTTCTATAACCAGCTTTCTTATATTCATTTCCTTTGGCTTTTGCAGTCCCTCCATGACAGCCAACATCTAAGCCCTTAAAGAATCACCTCCTCCAATTGGACCCAAAAAGAGGCCAATCTGCCTTCCCAGTCTCTAAACATGCCTCCAATACCAGAGGAGCCTGGAATACCTGAACTACTTCCATCAAAATTTAACTTTATATAGTCATTCAACGGTGGAGACCAAATACGACTTGTAGTGGACTTGTGTTACATGGAATTGGCCACTTCCTTCCAACTATTCAGGAGATCACTAGTTGAGCAGGCATCAAACATCTCCATAGATTTTACCCAATGTATCACTCTCACTATGATTGTTTCTTTGACAGCCTCTCTATTTTTTTCCTTACCTGAAAGCAGTCTTGTGTTCCTTTCTTCCCAAATGGTCCAGCTAACTGCCACCCTCACACATCTCCATAACACTCTTCCTCTTTTCACTGACCACCTAAAGAAGTTAGAAGCAAACAAGATCTGCACATTCGTCAGAGGAGACCACCTACTCCTGAACAATGAGAAAAACCATTCCCAAATAAAAGATGTAAACAGGCAAGTGATTAATAAGTGAAAGCAAGATTCTCCATTAGCCTTGCACATAACACACCAATTAGTTCTTTTTCCTTTGGATTAAGTCGCAGATATTGATTCTTTTCCTGTGGATAAACACTAAATCGATCTGTTTAATTCATATTGGGAAAGAAAAAGAAAAATGACTGTCATAACCATCATATTATTATTGTCAAAAGAAGGCAGAAATTATCTATGACATATGACTGTCCATTTAATCTACAAAAATGTTGTCAGAGAATTCTCTATAGTTGCAGATGTTGAAGTCACACCCTTCAGAAGAGAGGGAAGTATCTTTGATGGTGAGGCTAGTGGACTTCCTATGTGCTGTATGGTTTTGTTAGTTTGTTACTAGGTTAAGCTTTAGTTCCATAAGTGTTCAATCAGATAAACAAAGTTGATTTTTGATGGATGGACAGTGCATTTTAAGGGGATTAGAATATAGGTTTCTTAGGGCCCATTTGGTTCGTGGATTGGGTCTGGAATCAGAATTGGAATGGGCCATTCCGATTTCAACTGTTTGGTTGGATGTAATGGGAATCCCATTCCCATTCCTGGTGGAGTTGCAATCCCCCATTTGAGGAATGGCTATTCCCTCCTCACTTGGGAATCCAGCTGATTCCGATTCCAATTCCCATTCTGGTTCCTGTCTGAACCAAACAGACTATTCCAATTCCGATTCTGAGGGATTTTGATTCTGATTCCACTGTTAACCAAATGGACCCTTAGTATTTAATGCTCCTCTAGTTTTCTTCCATGCAACTTCTCACTGTAAGTAAAATCTCTTTCCTATACCAACTGAAAAGAGCATAAAAAATAATAACCAATGAGAAAATCCTATTTTTACCAAAAAAAGAACAGAAAAACCTGTTCTACTATTAGAGGGCTCTGAGATTTGTGCTGCTGTAACATCTTGAATTTGTTTCTATCCTCCACGGAACCAAGGTGAGGCTAGGCGATTTGGAGGGCTGGGGGTGTTCCTTGTTGCATAGGCAATGGATTTTTTAAACAAAAATCATTAATCCTGGGGTCATGTGCATAGAAGACCATCAACAGCACCTGCAAGAAGTGATTTGTTGCAAGTTGAAGGGGCTAAAAGGGCTAAGGGTACTAAAAAGGACTTGGATAGAATAATTTAACAATGCATGTGTCTTTAAACATAATGGAATGGAGAAACAGGACTCATGTAGCCAACTGCCAACCCCATGAAATTGGGATAAGGCCTGGATGATGAATCCTGAGGTAATTCCCTGGGTTCCATAGCAGCCAATAACCATCTTTCACAGTTTCACTTGTAATTAGAGGCTGAGCCTCTATTTTTGTCCTAGAGAAAAGAAGAAATGTAAGAACGAAAGAAGAAGAAAAAGAAGAATGTATTGATTGGACAAAATTTTAAGTTCTTCCTTGCTTATTGGTTCAGGTTTGAAGTTTTCAAGGGTTCAGGACAGCATACACCAACATGTGTGTTGATTGAACCCTAACAAATAAGAAAATAATAAAAAGAAACAAGTATATAACCCAACAAAATGAATAATTTAATTTAATAATGTCTATTTTATTATTATAATCTCAAATATAAAAAAATATATAAAATATTTCATAATGCCACATACAAAACAGCTAGGAACTTAAGTGAAGTAACCCTTCATGGATACCTTGTCACCTAATTGTTGCCTTGACAACTATACCATCCGCAGTTGTTCCTTTCTGTCATGTATTATTATTGAATTCTGCCCCCCCCCCCCCCAGCTTCTCGTATAATTATCTGCATGTCTTTAAGATTTTGCATGTAATGAGGATCTTATATATAATTATAGATGTATACAACACCTTTCATTTTATCTTACTAATTGTACCTTTTCCTTTGACCTGTAGATGTGGAGCTGCTCAATGCCGTGTCCAATAACTCTCCTGATGTTATCAGATTCCTTACAGTAATGGCAATATGCAATACAGTTGTACCTACTAAAAGGTAGTTTTAGTAACTTTACAAAGTTTTCTGTAGTTTCTTCATATCAACATTGTGGTTTTTGGGAAGTGAGCTGAGATTGCATTGCAGCACTTGGACCTGAGGTGAATCTTCTGAAATTACATCCATTGACCCTCTTTTTATGGTCTGCAGCAAAAGTGGAGCTATCTCTTATAAAGCACAATCTCAGGATGAAGATGCTCTTGTTCGTGCTGCATCTCACTTGCATATGACTTTTTTCAACAAGAATGCAAATATTCTTGGTATTAGCTAACCTTCTTGAGATCCATATCTTGTTTCCTGACATTTATAATATACTGTACAGATTGTATCTGTATTTGTTGTGGTGTTGTTAGTTATTTCAGATTAAATATTTTGCAGAAATCAATTTAAATGGCTCAATCATTCATTATGAGCTATTGGATACCCTTGAGTTCACTTCTGATAGGAAAAGAATGTCAGTGGTGGTAAAAGATTGTCAGAATGGAAAAATTTTCTTATTGTCCAAAGGAGCTGATGAAGCAATTCTTCCATATGCATGTTCTGGTAACTCTATTCTTTGATGAATTTCAGTCACTTGAATGGAAGATTTCAATGCCTCACAAATTTTCTACAAATATTCTTATTTCTAGTTGATGCTTATATTTTTTTCTTGTTGCACTAATCTTCTTCTTTCACATTTATAAAGTCGCAAGATATCTTATTATGTTAGATTTTTCATTTTGGATATATATGTTCTATCCCTTTGTGTAAAGTTAGGGGGTGAAAATCGGGCTGGATTAGATCAGGTTGTGGTCAACCCTAACCCAACCCGAGTTTTTCAATACCCAAGCATAGCCTAACCAATCCAATGACTTTGGGTTGAATTGGATTTGGGTTAATTCAATTTCTTCACTTCTTTTTAGCTTTTAGAAAATGTTCTGACTTCTTAAATTTTCTTAGACTTAGGTTTGGCCATTTAAGGTTAACTATACATGGGGATAAAGCTATGGTGCTTTAGGAGTACCCATACTTGTATTACACTGAAACATATTTGATCTAAAACTATTAAAGCATACATACATATGTATGTATTTTTGTATGATGCATGCATATGTATGTAGGGGAACCTATCTGATAGTGCTGAAGAAGAACATGACTCAAGCCTAGATGGATCTGCATTACAGAGGGGTGGAGGGCATCTGGTTGGATTAGGTTTTCGAAATGATTCAATGGTTTTTGGATTTAAAGAAGAATGATGTTAAGAAGATGGATGTATTGGGTTCGCAGATGAGTTATCTGAGAAGGAAGGTGTGATTATTGTTGCAAGTAAACCCAAGGCGAAAGGAGTGGTTGATCATCGTTTTGAGGAATGGAGTACAACAATGGTGGTCACAAAAGAAAAGGTCCCTGTTGGCAGGAAGGAACTTGAAGAAGCCCTCTCGAGAGAGATGAACAAAGAAATAAGGCTAAAGCCGTTTGAAGATGAGAAAACAGTGGTTTTCAACTCACCCCTGATAATGGAGGAAGCCTATCAGTTAAAACAGAGATGGGTACCTTCTTTTTGACATGGTGGTGCCCAGTGGTGAACATCTTCCAGCTTCATTACCTTTTAATCTTTGGACCAAGAGTGTCTTGAGGATGATTGGGGAGATGTGTGGTAGTTTCATCTCATTAAACCAGGAAACTTTGAAGCTGTGCAATCTTAGGCTTGTAAGTTGCAACCATTGTAGTGGGAGATAGACCTGAGAAGATTCCAAGAGTGGTTAAGGTCTTGCACGATATAATTTGCTACAAAGTCTGGATCCTATCGTCCCTGGAGTTACAACTATGGAAGGAGCATCTCAAGGTAGAAGATGATGACCTGGCCATTGCTTTCCCATGTGGAAACTCACCAGTGGAGCATTTCAAAATCTCTGAAAACTTCCTAAGGAAACTGGACTGGCAAGGAAGTTGAAGGGTATAGAGTCAGACCCCCACCATGTAGAACAAGAAAGGTCCGGAGAGTTTCTGGAGTCTTCTAATGAGGATGAGGGTGACATGTTGCTGAAGTTAAAGGAGAATATCAAAACATAAAGGGACAATGTCTCTTTCGACCGCACGTGGTAACAAGGCTATTAAGGTGAGGTCATGTGGTGAACTTAATGACCACATGAGGGTTGGATACATCCAGGCATTGATAGAGAAAAACTTCAATCTAGTTTCCTCTTCAGGGAGAGGACTTGAAAAAATTTCTTCTTTTAAGGAAGAAGGTGGGACAGTAGGTAGAACAGCAATTTGGCTTGGATTAAGGCAAAGATGTTCAGGAGGAAAAGTGTGCTTTTCAAGAAACATCATTTGGGAAATAGCCTTAGCCTAGAAAAAAAAGGAAAAAGAGTGGGAATGGGTAATTACTAAATTTGTTTGATAAGAGGGTTTGAATTCTTTGATGGTTTGTGAGGATCAAATTAATTTGAAGGAAAAAGCAGCTTTACAGCCGACACCATGTGAGAAGCTTGACAAAGGCTGCAAGGCTTGTCTTGCACTTGAATCAGATCTTCTGGTGCATCATGTTACAGATGATAGTGTTACAGTTGTGGGTAAGGAGGGGGACCAAGTTGAGCACAGCAACAACAAGGAAAGGATGTGCAAAAACAAGAAGGGTTCAGACCATTAGTTCAGTTGAAAAGGAAGTTGAGTGAAACACAACTGCACAGTCAAGAGATGTTGAACAGTGCCCATTTGAATTGGAACTGTCAGAGATGGTGTTTGATAGGCAATTCATTGAACCAACTTCAGGTGAGAGTCTAGTTGAGGAAGGAAGTTGTGTTGAAATTGTGGTAGGGAAGCTAGGGAAAGATTTGGGAAGAAAGAAGGTTTAAGTAGATAAACTTTGGTAAAAGAAAATGGAGACATCAGTGGAACTTCTTTGAATTTGAAAAACAAATAAGGGGTTCAAGTGCTGGCTAGTTGGAACATGTGACCAAAGCATTAAGTATTGGAAGATTCCCCACAAGTCATAGATCAAGATTTTGTGCAGACTAAGGGTGCAGTCATAGTTAATAGATTTATTTCATGATGATGATAGAACAGATAAGAATGGTGAAGATTCAGAGGTAGTGGAGAGTGAGGATGAATAGATTTTGGATCAAACAAGACCAGTTGAAAAAAAGGATCTGGATGAAGTGGTCAACACAGAAGTGCAGGAAAGCTTTTATGGATTGGGAAAAGATGAGGAAAGTTAATTGGATTTTTTGGGGAAGGGAGAGGGGGATGTGTCTGATAAAGGTATGGAGATAGTTGGGAAGGCAGGGGTGCTGATTCTGCTGAAAGGTGGTGTTAAGATTTTGGTTGTTTTTTGGGTTCTGGTGGTTGGTTTTGGGTGGTTTTTGGGATGCAAGGTTGTTGATTTGGGTTTTCCCATTCTTGATTCAATTGGTAAGGTTCCCTTGTTTGGGTTGGTTTTTTTATTTTTTTGGCTGGGAGATAGAGGATTATTTTGTAGTTTGTCATTTTCTTTGGGGTGATTGCTCATCACCTGCTGTTGTATCCTGCTTTTCTATTCGTAAAAAATTCTTTTTTATTATTGTCAAAAAAGTATTAAATTAGGTTAGATATCCAAGAAGTCTTCTTTACATATTCCAAACAATCTCATTTGGTTTATTTGCTTTTCTTGCAAACTTGCTTACATATGCAAAACTGTCTTACCTGGATAACCATACATTGCTAGAATAATGTTGTCAAAATCTTATGAGATAGTTCATTATTCAATTGTTAATCCCAAGAACTCTGCTTCAAATATTATAATTGAATCTGTTTTCTGAAAAGAAAACCCTATTACTATTGTTTGAATCTTAGAATTTGATTATAAATCATACAATCTATTTATTTCATGCTAACAATTGACTGTACTTCGTCATTTATCTTTTAAACCCCTACTAGAACAGGACTTGCTTGGGTTGTTTAAAGCATACTGAAACACTTTTTTTCAGCAAAGAAATGTTTTCATTAAACTAAACACTTTTTTGAGAGATAGAATATGTTTTATTAGTTTTATGAAAAAAAAATCACAAGAATGTCTAGTGGGTTACTTTTGACAGAGAAGCAAGTATCAAATTTTCAATACGGTACGCATCGTATCAGGCATATTGTATCATATATTTTGGTTCCCAATGTAGAGATAGTGAGAAGATCTAGCCATAGGGCTATTTTTGTACTTTTACTTCTTTTGTTGTACATCTATTTTCTGTACTTTCTTTTGTACACTAAGGGCAGATTTGTCCTTTTACTTTCTTTAATATAAATATCTCTTTTAGGGTGTCTACAGTCATAAGGTGACACACCCACCAAACTGTTTGTTCTTTTCTCTCTTCTATCTCTGTCTTTTCGACTTGACTCTAACATGGTATTAGAGCAAGTCATGATCTGATCTGCATATATTATATTAGTATCTTTTCAATCATCTCTGTTGCTGCTGTCTCAAGAACTTTCTAACAGTATTTGGGAGGCTCTTGAGTGTCTTTGAATCTTCTCCCTAGAGATGCTTCAGATCTGAACTTTACAGATCATTTCTCTAGACTGTTGTGCCATCAGATTTCTCCTTCTTCTTGGATCTCCTTGTAGAGACACCGGATCAGCCTGAAATCTTAGATTTGGTGTCGCCCAGAGCAGATCTACTGAATTCTTTTGGTTTGGTTTGCATCATTTTGATTTTGTTTCAATCCACTTTTCAGTTCAGCAGAACACTACAGTTACCTTTTTTGGACCTTGACTGAAAGGTACTATCTTTTCTACCCTCTGGTTCGAATTTTATTGATTTCCTAGAAGTGTGCATTGCTGTCTTTTGCCCTTCAATGGCATTAGAAAGGATGGGGGTTCTCCCTATTAAATTCAATGGCACAAACTATGCTTTATGGAAGTTTAACTTTCAATTCCATGTTGAAGCCATGGATCTTTGGGGATATTTGGATGGTTATGTAGCTAAACCTGATGATTCAGATATTAAGGGTCTTAATTAGTAGAAGATCGACAATGCAAAAATTGCATCATGGATCCTAGGATCAGTTGAAACCGACATTGCAATCCCTATGAGAGGGTACAGGACTGTCTATGAGATGTACAAGTACCTTGAGAAAGTTTATCAGCAATTGAACACCTCTAGGCAGTACCAGATAGAGGTTGACATCTTCTCATATTATCATGGAGAAAGGAAAGTCCAGGAATACTATGCAGGGTTTATTAACCTCTGGACAGAGTACGAGTTAGTACACATGGGAAAGGATTCGTCAGACTGTTGCGTGAAGTATATGAAAGAACACTTTGATAGAAGGAAGATTATGCATTTTCTAATGCTTCTTAGGCCTGAGTCTGAAGTTGTCAAATCTAATATTCTGAGCCGAGGAACACTTCCTGACTTAGATACTATTCTTGGGGAAATTCTAAGAGCTAAAATTAAATTTACTACACAGACCACTCTTGATTAGAGAACAGATTCCGACATTGTTGTTGTCTTCCTGGCAACAAAATTGAAAGGGAAGGACTTCTCTAAAGTACAATGCTAAGAATGTAAGGAGTTTGGGCATGTTGTC